GTACAATCGGCGGAGAATGACGGACGCCAACAGCTTCAACGCTGTCGGGATCAGGCTTATACCCCTGTGATTGGCCCAGTCATTGCGCGGGCCCTTTTTGAAGATGGGGGCAAAAATCGATTCCCCCAGTGTTCCAAACTTTAGAGAACAGCACTTGTAGTTCTCTAACAGTTTAATGTCACCATCTTTAAATGGGGCTGGGGAAAGGCCATCGGAGCACGGCGCTTTGTGACGTCCCAAGGCTTGAATCTCTTTACGGATTTCTGCCTCAGAAGGTGGGTCTGTTGAGATAGACCATGGGACGTGTGCCGAAACAGCTATGTGAGAAGCTGACGCTGGAGGCCAGCTAAATTGTGCTTTGAAGTGCTCCGCCCAACGTGCAAGACGTCGCTGTTGACTATGAATGGACGAGCCGTCAGCTTCGCAGATTATTTCGCTCACACCAAAGGCTTTCCTGTCAGTGACCCGGGAATTACCCATGGCGGCAGCTTGTTCCATCTCTGACGCGCGTTGAGTCCACCAGATCTCGCGGTCTCTGAGTAGGCTTGCAATAAGTTCACGTCTCATTACGAGTCGTGTTTCCTTATGCTCGCTGCCGGTCGGAATAGACCGACGTGTGTCAAGAAGGCATAGAGACTCTGCAGAGATACAGGGGGTCACGACACGACGCGTCAGACCACAACTAACTAAGCCAGCAGAATGCGGAGTATTCTTGATAAGCGACCAGTGATGGTTAACGTCATCGGGTGGAGTTGGTCCTAGCTTCTCAGCTAGCGCGTTTTAGAAGACAGTTAGACAAGCTGGTTTGGACAGCTTAACACAATCTAACTGTCGTTGTCATGCGTTTGGGACGCCCAACGAAGTACATGGACAGCTTAGCGCATACTAATGCGTGGTCGGATTCGAGGGGAATGCTCCAGTACAATCGGCAATCTTGAATGCAGCTTCGCCATTTGTGGTTTATCGCGATGCGGTCGATCTGCTTCCGTCTCTGACTCGAGAAGGGCGGACACCAAGTGGCGTACCGGCAGTTGGAGCGTCTGAATTTCGTACTGGCGAGGAATACGCAGCGGTCGGAACACAAAGCCAACAGCCGCTCCCCGTTTTACGAGCGACAGGAACCTAGTCCGAAAGGACCTTCTAGGTGTGCCTCACTCAAAGTCAACCGGCCTACTCTAGCATTCATATCTCCTGCTAAAATCACAATATCAGCCCGGATCGCTTTACGCAAGAGGTCGTGTAGACTGTGATCAAATTCATCTTTGACTGCATCTGGGCTGCAGTTTATTGGAGCGTACGCCGATTCTACAAACAAGTTTCGTCTATCGTAGCGACGGCTGCTTACCTTGCACGAACCTCGGAGTCTCACTGCGCACAACCTACTGTCGGTTGGGATCTAATCCAGAAGGGCGGCCTCAGCTCTCTCACCGAGAGCTACGCCGACGCCAGCAAAACCGGAAGCCGCAGCCTCAGGGTTCACAGAGAGGCGCAAGTGAAACTTCACAGATTAGTTAGATGGGGACGTCAATCGGATAATGAAGCTGGAGACTTGAATGCAATACACCTCGATGGCTAGTGACTCGAGCGTACGAGCTAAACACGCCTGTTGTTCTATAAG